ATAACTGTAATGACGGTAGCAATTACTATAGAGAAGTAAGAAGAATGACTACCAAGAATCACTGAAATAAGCTCCCCTTTTAAGACCCCAGCCTATACCAGAGAAGGCACTTTTTTTTTTACATTATCTTATTTAATCCTCTGAACAATCCTACAGGTGGTTGCTCCCCGCCCCACCCCACCCCCACCCCCACTCCTTAAAGATGAGGAGTCTAAGCACAGAGGAATTTAGAAACTCACCCAAGGTCACACAGCTAGTCTGGGCCTGAGCAAAGAGACCCCACACTTTCCGCCACCCTAGACTGTCTCCCCATAATTATGGACACCGCCTCTCTCAGGCCTTACTGCTGGCCAGCCACATTTTCTAACTGCTTTATTGAACTGTAATTCATCTACCAAACAGTTCCCCCATTTAAAGTGTAGAATTTAATGGTATTTAGTGTACGCACCGAGTCATGCGATCACCACCGTGGTCTGTTTTGGAACATTTCATCATTACCGCCTAATGAAACCCCAAAACCCCGGACCTTGTCACCATCCATCCCCACCCACCCCCTCCCCCACTGTAATCCCATTCTACAGACGAAGGACTGAGGCTCTGAAGCTGCTGGGTTTTGTACAGCAGGCCTGGGGAAGAAGCAGGGCTGGGACTCACCCTCCCTGCACTCCTCCTCCCACCGCCTGCCAGGGGTCTGCTCTGTAATCCATTGAATATGCATGAGCTGCAGAGGGTGGTAAATGGAACCAGATGGTGACAAAGCTTACACGTGCCTTGCTTCCACACCAGGCCGGTGACTCACAGAGTCCTGGAGGCAAAGGGGGTATGAACAGCACAACCAAGTCCCTGTGGCCCCAACTCAGGGGCAGCGAGGCCCAGGACCAGAGAGGCAGAGATGACATGGTGGTGGTGGGGGGGGGCTTTTGGTCTGAGTACTAGATGATATGTAGGGTCCCCCACTCTGCTGACCCTATTCCTATACCCCACAATCCCTTCTGGACCCACCAAGAACTGGTTCTGAACCCAGGCCTCCATGTTCCTCCCAGGAATTCAGAGCCATAATCGCTAATAGGGGGTCTGTTCTGCACTTGGCCTCCAGCTGGAGGGGTCCTAAGGTGACACAGGCCCTCCCAGCCCAGAGGCCCTCAGAGGCTAGGGGTCACAGGAATGTCAGGAGAACCATTGCACTGACTGGCTGGGTTCCCCAAAAAAGGCCCTGGACGGTGGACCATCAGGTTGCAGCTGCTGCCTGGGTACATTCCCGGGCAGGGACCCGAGGATCTGACAGCTGCCCCGGGCCCCAGAGGAAACTCTCTGCAGATAGAACGTGGCCTCCCCATATCCCTTCTTCCCTTCTGCCAAACATTCTCAAGCTTGCCCTGGGTCAGTCATTCTCTCTGCTGGCCACAGGCCCAGCACTGTCTCTCATCTTTACAATGTTCAATCAGTCTTGAGCCAACGCCACCTCTTTCAGGGAGCCTTCCTAGATTCCCTAACCAAAAATCAGTCCTTCCGCTGCTGCATCACACAAGACTGTCATTTGTCTGCTTTTATGTCTGGGTCCCCGTTACCCTGCAAACTCATCCAGGGTAGAGGTCCTGGCTTCCTCATTCCTAGGTCCTTCCTGACCCCTCTGCACTACTGTGCCACACCAAACCCTCCAGAAGAGCAGGTGGGAAGTGAGGGGAAGCACTCATTCCTCAGTTTTAGCAGGAATTAACCACAGTGCAGGGAACGCTCCCAGTTTCCATCCCATGGCACTCTATGGGATGGCGGGAGACGGAAAGGCAGTGATGCCCACTGGCCCCCACTACAGGGCCCAGTTGGAAATGAGGGTCAGGCCACCAGTTTACACATGGTGCCTCTCACCAGAGCAGCTAAGATCCAAATGGCTGCAGTCTGTCCACACAAAGGGGTCTTTGTTCAAGACCTTCTCACAATTGGAAGTTTTGCTTGGCCATGAGGGTCAAGCTCAGGGCTAGAGTCTTTCCTCCCTATACCTCCAAAGCAGCCCCATCCGGCACAAAACAGATCCTAGGACCAGCTAGGGAGGGAGGCGTTAACTACAGGTTTAGAGAGGTCTGGCTTCAAACTCCTTCAGCAAGGCCTGCTCCATGTCACAAAGTGCCAATGTTGAAGCTGGAAGGGACTCTGAGCCCTCCCATTCTAGCCTCGGAGATGTACCTAAGAGGCAAGTGGAGCCCAGAGAAGGAAGGCAGCTTGCTCAGGGACACACAGCCTGTGTCTCCAATTCCCAGATACTAGGCTGCCCCATCCCCACTGCAGGCCCTCTCTCCTATCCTGCCTTCCTTCAAGGTCAGGCCAAAGCCCACCTTCCCACTGTGTCTCCTGGCAACCCCTCCCCAGATCCATCCAGTGCCGTCACTCACTCTTCCCTCTGCCCAGAATGCCCTCCCAACCCTCCTTTGGCCCCAGCAAACTTCTACTCATCCTTCAAGGCCCAGTTCCGATATCATCTTCTCCAGCACCAAAGACAACAGTCACTCCCACCGACTGAGTATTGTCCCCTCGGGGCTCTGGAAAACCAACAAAAGAATGCTGAAACCACTAGAGAGGTTTCTCCTGCTTGGCACCCAAGTTCCTTGAGGGCAGGGATGGGACTCTCTGCAAAGCAGGGTGGGTGATGACAACATCCCATACACACCACACACACACACACACACACACACACACACGACTGAAGGGCTCTATCAACTCTTCCGTCCTGTGTGAACAGAAGCTGTCTGCATGATCGTCAGCTCTCCCCGCTAAGGCTGTTTCCTCGGCTACACAATGAGCGAGGTTAACAAACGCGGGCATCCGGTCGGGGCTGCAGGAAGGACTCCCGGCTGCTACTATTCTGTGTGTCTCTATGTGTGCATAGAGACATTCTATGTGTGCATCATTTTTTGGAAGGAATGACTTCGGGACGTGCAATGCCAAGGAGGATGGAATTAAGAGCCAAAGACCACATACAGCTGCAGAGTTAAATCTTATCAGAGATGCCACCCTGTGGCCTTGGCGTCCAAAGGTGGCTCAGCTAGGTCACTGCAAAGAGCCCCTTGCTCTCAGGGGACTCAGGGTAGCTTTCTGGAATGGGCTGGAAACACGGAAATCTCTGCCCTGGGGAGGACTCTGTGCTGGGCTGTGGCCGGGGACTGGCTACAGCCAACAGCAGAAGCGGTGCCCCAGTGGCAAGCAAAGACCATGGACAGTTACTCAGGGACAGTGTTAATCACCCACTGACACCTCTGTCAGGCCCAGGGTACTTTAACAGGGGTAGCGAAAGAAGTGGGAGACACAGCCCAGTCCCAAGACGGCCAGCAGCCTCCGCAGCCGAGGGCTGTAGGGGTCATGCAATGCAGTCAAACCACCGGTCTGCTCTAGCATGTTCCGTCTCTCCGTTTGCAAAGACACTGCGTCCCTGGGCGACCGCAAGCATCCCTTCGGATTTTCAAGCCAAACTGTGGCCACTGCACAGCTCTGGCCAACGGGCTTCTGCTGCATAAACCTGCTGGTCCAGGGTGGGTGGCAGCCAAGGCTTGCCCAGGACAAGGCCTCAGCCTTCTGCAGCGTGCTCACAACCTGGGCTTCTCAAAGTCGGCCTCACAGAACCCTTATATGCAAGGTGATTCCAGCATACGCTCAACCGTGAGAGCCAACCACTGCCCAGACCATGCCTCTCCGGTGGGGGGGCGGGGAGGGCGCCATCACCTCCAATGTGGACAAAAACTCATTCTTTGGAAGGCAGAAAATGTATTCTTTATATATATATATATATATATATATATATATATATATATATATATGACGCACAGATACACATACAATTTACAAACAGATGTGCAGTCCATCTGTGGTCTTAAAATTTCAAGAGGGGATCTGGAGGAAAAAATGGCTAAAAAGACACTTGAAGGGGGCTGATAATGAAAAAGAAAGATCGAGACGCACCAGCCCAAACACAGGTCATGTGACAATCAGCAGGATGACGCTTCGCAAGGGAAGGAGTGTGAGGGGTGCTCTCAGCCCTGCTAGGGAAGAAACACCCCCTTTCCCATCCCCCCAAATCTGACTCATCCCTCACTTCAAGTGAAAGGGCTAAGCAAGGGGGTCCTTTCCTGGGACACATCAGCTCCTACCTGACAACGCAGAGGCCACAGAAAGAACCTCCACCAGGGCCCTGGGCCTGCGGATGGACTTGAACCTCAACACGAGTCAAGCCTCAGACAGGAGCCACCTGTGGCTTTCTGGTTTGCCATAGTGAGCCAACTAGCAGGGCCTTCCAAGCCTGGGAGGAGGGAATAGGTCCTGAGAAAGGGAGCTCCCAGAGCAGGGCCCTGGGAAAGAGCAGACAGACTTTAGGACCAAAGACATCAGGGGATGAGTGAGGACCTAACAGTAAGAATCCTAACAGCCGCTAATGTTGCCAGAGCCTTGACCCCATGCCAGGTGGGTGCTGACCCCCAACCATGCTGCCAGGTAAGGGAGATCCCATCATCATTGCTACCACGTCCGCTCTGTGAGGGTAAGGACCACATGTGCCCCAGGCCCTGACGTACCCCCCGGAGCCTGAACGGTGCTGGGCACAAGGGACACACACGGTAAATATGTGCATTATGAATAAACCCTCACTTCACGTATAAGGGAAAGTAGCGCAGAGAAGGTGAGTGGCCCAGCCAGGACTCAATCCCAGCCAAGCCTGCCTTCCTCACCCCTGCACATGTCTGGGCTAGGCAAGCTGGCATCCCGTGTATCCACGGACCATGAGGGAATGAACAAGACACCATCCACACCAGGCCTTGCACACCCACTAGAGCGGCAACCTGGCGGCCAGCGGGGCAAATGCAGAGTTCTCTGAAGGCAGGGAAGCCCGGGACATGGCCCAAACCATACACTGTGCCCATAGGAGTCCCAAACACAGAGGAGCCAAGGAGGAAACAGTGTCAGGCTCAGATGGCCTGGGTCAGGGGCAAAAAGTGGCTTGATGAAAGGCTTGTCCTTACCAATCCATCGCAGTTGCTGATGGCAACAGCAGCCCCAGGCATGCCCATGACATCCCCAGTGTAGACACACTCCCGCCGCAGGGGCTGTCGGAAGAGCTCCCGAAAATCCTCCTGCCACTCCACCGAGGCTCCGGGCACCACCAGCCGTTGGTTGGGCTGCAGGCGCAGATGCAGTTCCTCCCCAAAAACCGTGACATTGAAGTAGAGGGAGGGGCGCCCCACCCGGCCAGGCTGCAGAGTGGCTCCTTCTGGGCGTGGGAGGCTGCGGGCCACCCGGAGGGGACCAGAGTGTGACTGTGGTGCAGGGGGCCCCTCCGCTACGGTGCTCCCGGCGGAGGCTGCTGCTGGCCCAGACAGCACGTGGGAGAGGAAGCGTCCCCGAAAATCTGTGCTGCATGGCACTGTCACACCATAGTCACGGAGCTTTCCAGAGAGACGCATTTCTGCTGGAACAAACAGAGTTATATAAACGTATTCTGTGCAAAGGTAAAGGGAGACCGGCAATCCCACTGCAACCCTGAGCGTCACTTGGAGGGACCCCTTAGTCCAAGTTCATCCAAGACTCATCCAGGGCTTCCTGAGCCTCTGGATCTCTGCACTTGGACTGCGCAGCGTTCAAGTACTCTGTGGACTTAACTTGCTCCTGTAGTCCCCAAGGCCCTGTTAAACTTAACAGAAGAAAAGAATGATGCCAGAGTCCTGTCTGTCACTCTAGCAACGAGCCTTCCAATTTGGGGCACTGCCGAGGAATGGGCTGAGATTCCCCGAAAGCCGCCAGGGCAAAGTGAGGGATGGCAGGATCTGCCCCAACTCCCCCCACCCCCTGCACTGAAGTCACCGGCCCAGCCTGGGGTAGGCCCCTCCTCCTCGCCAAGCTCTCTGAACACAGCTGGCAAAACAAACACACCTAGAAACCCAGGGGATCCTGGGCACGTGTCAGGGGGAAAGGAGGAGCTGGAGAGGGAAGGGAGGGAATACAGGTTCTATATTTTTCCAAGTTTAGAAAGAAAACTTTTTAAAGTCAACAGAGGCTGCTGAGATTTCTACATGGCCCAGCACCAAGCCCGGTAAATATAGATCTTCAAAAATAAAAGGAGACGCATGGGGTGACCTGCCCACTCGGACTGAATTAAGTGTGAGGTCATGGCCCCACGCTCTAGGCTGCATGCCAGCAGCGAGGTCCTCGCACAGCTCTCCCCGAGCCCAGCCAGGCCCAGCAGGAATGACAGCTCGCTGGCTTCCAGGCTTGGTGATTCAGGACTGGAGTCTGGAGGGATTTTCATTTCCACATGGCTCTCTATCTCTTGCCTCCCTGGGCCCCTTCACACTACTGATGAAGCCTAGAAAACGAGGTCTCCTGAAACCTCCCATGCCTAAGGCACTTCCAGTGGGGGAAGTCTCTTCTGGTTTTACCCATTAAGACCCCCAAGATTTCTGCTAGAGAGAACCCGCTTCAGTTCACAGACAAGCAGGGAGCCTGTCTGGAAATGACCAGAGCCCCTTCCCCACGCTCAGAGCCACAGCAGGTGAGGGTGCAGGATGTTTGGTCTGTGTGTGAGAAGGAGGGTGTCTGCACAGAGCCCGAGAATGCTGAAGGAGAGGGCTGGGCGTGTGTTTCCAAGCAGGAGTGTGAGTGCCAGGTGCTCCCTGGCGGGTGGGGCGACCACCTGCCAGCCTAATTCCATAAGGATGAGACAGACACATGCACACAAGTTGGAGAGGGAGAAGACACTGAAGTGAAAGACACACAGGACAGACACAGACCAATTGTGTGTGTGGGTGGGGGGATGAAAACTAGAGAAATACACTGTAAAATACAGAGACAAAGACCAATATACACCCCCGAAGAAGAGACTCCAAATTCCTAAAACCTCTCCCAGGGTCTCTCTCTGCCTCTTGTGCCAGAAAAGAAGAGCAATCGCGGGTCAGCGCTGGGGACCTAGGGGAAGAAATGAGCTCAAGCCCCGGGCGCGCACCGCCTCCCACTCCCACTCGCTCGAATGCTGCCCGGGCTCCTCCGGTCCCCAGGCACCAGCCCGACTCTCGGGCACCCGGGACCCCTCGCGCCCCCGCGCGCCCGACCTGCACGCACCTGGGGTCCGGCTGCCCGCGGAGGCGCAGAGCGCATAGTGCAGGGGCAGCAGGCAGGTCAGCAGCGCGCGGAGCCGAGCCATGTGGCCGCGCGGACGCGGGCCGGAGGGGGCCCGAGCCCCCAGCTCCCGACTGCCGGCGAGGCTGGAGCGCGCCCCGGACTGCCCAGCGCGGGCCAGCCGGCCTCTGCCTGCTCCGCCGCCGCCGCCGGCCCGCTCCCGGCCCCCCGCGGCACTGCCTGGACCGCTGGCTCCACGCGCCCGAGGCTGCCGGCGGGGGAGCGGAGCGGCCGACGCGCCAGCACCCGCCGTGCCAAACTGCAGCGAGCAGCTCTGTCCGCCCGCGCCGTGACGCTCCCGGACGCGGCAGGAGCGGGCCAAGGGGGCGGCGGGACGGGCCGGGCCGGGGGTGGGCACGCTGGCGGGGCGGGGCGGGGCCGGGCGCGGGTCGAACTGGGGGCGCCGCGCGGCCGGGGCGGAGCGCGGGGCCGGGGAGAGCAGCGGCATGCGGCCCAGCAGATCGGAAGTGCCACGCGGAGCCAGGCGCCTGGGCTACCCCCAGAGTAGCCGCTTTCCTTCTCCCCTCGGCTCCCCTAACTTGACCACAGGGCCCACTCTCCAGAGCCACAGGGTCGAAGGGGATGTCCAACTACGTTTGGGTGGGGAGACAGTGAGCACTCTCCTCCCTAAGAGAGGGTGTCTCCTTCTTTCTCTCTTCATTACCTTGACGCCAACACTAACCTTTGACCCCTTGGATCTACCCATTTCGCAGACTACAGCTCTCTGTGCCCACAGTTGCAGTGCGCAACTTGTGTCCTAGTCAAGAAACGGTGCTGAAAAAGGGGAAGAGAGAGAGCCCGGGCTTTATGCTCAGACGGCCCTGATAGAAGTCCCAGCACTGAGCCTCCCTTGGAGTGTGAACAGTAGCACATAGTAGGTGTTCAATAAAATATCCTCCACTTCCTGCACCAATAACCCCCTCCACAGGCCAAGGTGGGCAAAACCAAGAGTCAGGGATGAGAGTGGATTGCTGGTTTTGCAGTGTCAGGGCAAATAGCCCAGAGGCTGCTTGACTGTATAAAGGTGTTCCTAACAGTTTACGAATGAACTGTATTTCAAGCAAGCCAGAGGTGGGAATTGGAGAAAGGAGTTGTGTGTGTGTGTGTGTGTGTGTGTGTGTGTGTGTGTGTGTTTAAGGAACTGTGGAATAAAGAATCTTTGTATAAAGAGTATAAAGACCCCTAATCTTTCCACTTTTGAGGCCAGACATTTTGTTGTGGGGCCTTCTTAAAAGGAGACCAGCTTGTGGGTGGAAATTCCCTAACCAGACTTCTCTTGGGAAACTCTAGATCCCCTGAGAGAGAGGCCTTGGCTCCCTGCACTCTTCCGCCTATGACAATGTGAGGCCTTCCGGTCTGCACCCTTGCTAGGTTCCAAATAGTCTCCTGTCCTGTGGGCAGAGAGCTGGATTCCTCCTCCCCGTGGCCCCAGGCCTTGGCCCAGGGCCTCCTGAGAGGAAGTGCTTCTAGAGTGAGGAGGCTTTGGAGGGGCAGCGCATTCATGAAGGCAGGTTCAGAGAGCTGAAGCAGTGTCCCGGGTCACACAGCGTGTCTGCCGCAGAGCTGGGATCAGAATCCAGAGTCTGGTACTGAGCTGGAAAAAGAGACAAGACCGGGGTTCAGTAGACTAACCTAGGCTGAGCTTTGCCAAGTATAGTCTGTGTGACCAAGGGCACGTCTCTTTCTTTTTGGGCTGCAGTACCTCATCTGTCAAAGGGAAGAAACCAGGAGGCTCACAGGGCTCGCAGGTGACCTCTGAGGTCCTGTGAAAATGCAGAGTGTATTCTGTTCCAAGTAACACCAAGACCATCCAGTTATTTGAAAATGGCACCACCAAACTGATCTATATGAAGTTCAGGCAAAAGAGAGTTCCTTTTTCTCCTCTTTCTGGTTCTTTAAGAGCTGTGAAGTCAAGAGCCAGACTGTGGTTTTGTGTGTGAGGGCAGATGGAGCAAGAATGTGAGGGGTTTGAGTGTGTGTGTGTGTGTGTGTGTGTGTGTGTGTGTGTGTCAGTGGGAACTTGGAGGAGAGGCTGTGAGATGATCAGGCTGGAACTGTCTCCATCTGGCCCTCCACAAATCCACTAAATGACCTCAGGATAAAATGACCTCCCTTCTCAGGGTCTCAGTTTTCCCAGCTGAAGAGTGGGGGCCTTGTGGAGACGGAAAAGTGATCGCTGATTTTCCCCCTTGCCATCCCAAAAGCTCGCCTAGCCCCCTCCCTGAACCCCACCCCATTCTTCATGCCTTAAACTTGGGAAGTCAAGAGGGACCCCAGCAGCCTGACTCATGAGCAATGGGCTGGGGCCTTCCCCGGAGTCCGTCCTGGCAAACAGAGAGCAAAACCTCACCCTGGTTCTCTACCCCCACCCCCTTCCCTGGGGCTACAACGGTTGCTTTTGTTGGCAAGTATTGTATGTCCAAGCTCTTTTCTACTGAGGAAGCCTTTGTTAGGAAGAGAGGACAGGAGAGCATAATTCAGAGTCTGGGCGGAAGGTAGAGGAAATGGCTGAGGGGCAGGCCCCATTTCTAGAGGTCCACAGGGCCAAAGCAAAAAAATCTATAGGCATCAGCTGGGGACGTTCCTAGGAAGGCAAGTTCTGGGTTCCCTGTCTCTTACCTTGGGATCCTTGCCCAGTAGAGTACGGCTTGGATGTTTCTCCTGCTGATAGCCCTCCAGCTTTTATCCAACGCTCCTTCTGTCTAAGACCCCGGCAGAGGAGGGGGAAATGCAAACAGCTGGCACGGCGTGCAGTCAGCAGCCAACTGGAAGACACGACAGGTGAATGAGAACGCCTGAAAACCAAGTAAGATGGGAAAGAGATAGTAGGTGTTCAATAAAATATCCTCCACTTCCGGCACCAGAAACCCCTCCACAGGCCAAGGTGGGCAAAACCCACCTTGGAGCAGAGTCACCAGTGAGGGCTACAGTGATTCCAGAAAGGAAGGGGTTCCTGACAAGTTTAGTAGAAGACCTGGGTCCAAGCCAAAGCCCACAGGCTTCCCTGAGAGGTCACGTGGGTCAGCTTGTCTTCCTTTTTTCTTTTTAAAACTCTTTCTGTTGTGAAAACTAGGAGGCACACAGAAGAGTGCTCTCTGCTCGTTTTCTACACAGGGTAAACTGAGGCCCAGAAAACAGAGGCGACTTCCCCAAGGCCACACAGTGGGCTGGTTCATGGGCAGGATAACAGCCCAAGACTCCCAGCTCCTGGTCAGATGATCCTAGAGCATCACCCTGTTTGTCCCTCCCGCCCAGGACCTCGGCCCTTTGGCTACTCATCATTGGTTTTAATCTCATTCCTAAGGGAAGAAGAAAGGTTTGGAGCTCTTCTTCCTGATATCTGAGACCCACAGTCCCACTAAGAAGTTCCAGGTCAGTAGTTTTTAATCAGGGTCCCGTGGACCAGCAGAAGCAGTATCACTTAGGTATTTGCTATCAATTTGAATTCTCAGGCCCCTCCCCAGACCTGTTCAACAAGAATCTCAGGGGGGCGGGGCCCAGCAACCAGGCTTTAGCAAACCTTCCGAGGATTCTAACCATGCTCAAATGTAAGAATCACTATTCTAAGCAAAGACTTGCAAACGAGGGCCAAATTAGGATGAGAACAAGCTCACTGAGGATCTGTGACCCGCTTCTCATTCAGGGTTACCACGCTCACCTCCTAGGCCAGTCCCTCAAGCCTGGCCTTGAGCTATATCTGAAGTCTGGGTCTGGACAGAGTTCCAGATGCATCTAGAACAACCAGAAACGATGCCTCGTAGTCCTTCTCCACATCACCCTTCTCCAACCCCCACCCCTCCCCCCAGCATTCCCTTTGCACATTTCTTGGCAATTGTCTAGTGACTGTATCTAGGAGACCCGGACGGGTTAAGTTAACCACAGTGATTTGTCATACGTTATGGAACAGCTGACACCCCCGAGACCGGCTGAACCATGAGATCAGTTAGAAACAATGCTGTTTGTGCCCTGTATATAGACACTATATGGTTGTGGTTACTGCATGTTGAGGGGTTCAGGGAGAGGAGGTCTCCATATCCTTGTAAGGAGGGATGCCAGAAAGGCCAGCTGTCCTTCAGGAATTCGTGTCTGCCATTTCCTTTCCAGAAACTGTAAGTTTATAATTGCAAACCAAAATCCAGTGCAGGTCCTGGCATTGGCCCCCTGGGGCTCAAGAGAGGCAGGCAGAAAGCAGAGACCCTCTCCTATTTCCGGGAGTCCCTTGGTTGTGAATAGAAAGTCTCAGAGAGATTTGGCAAGGACTCACTGCTCACAAGCCTTTCTTCAAATCATGGTGACATCCTGCAGCAAAGATGGGCCAGGCCTCCATTCTGGTCCTTTCTCCAGTGAGGTGTGTTACACGTAACCAAATAAATAAATAAATATGACTTAATTTATTACTCCACATAATATGGAATACTGAAACACGCCTCTGCCTGCCTGGTTAATTTGGAAGCCCAGCAGAATTATCCGGCAACCCATATCTTTCCTCCTTCCACTCTGCCATGTTTGTGGTTAGTCTAGTCCTCAGGCTTGTCCCCCTCTTAGTCACAAAATGGCTGCATTAGTGCCAGCCTAAAGCACATGTTCACTAAACGCAATGGTGACCAAGGCAATGGAAAAGAGAGTTCTTCCTTGTCCCCTCTTTTTAAGAATTCTATTACACAAATTTTCAAACATACACAAAAGAAGACAGAGTAGTATGAAGCCACTACCCACCCACCCAACACCTTCTGCATTTTCCCACAACCCAGCTTCTATCATTATTAGCCCAAGATGGGTCTTACTTCATCGTTGCCCCTCCCCTCAATACATCCTGGGTTATTTTAAAGCAAATCTCAGACATCATCTCCCATTTCGTATCAGTAGCTGATAGATAAAGACTCTCTCTTCTTCAAAGAAAAAAAAGAAAACAACGTCAACAACCAAAAGACATTTCTTTGTCACATCTAACAAAATTATTCACAATTCCTTAAAATCTTCTTATATCCGCTCATAATTTGAATTTCTAGGTCACAGAAATTTATTTTCTTTAGTTTTGTTTTGAAGATTTGGTTTGTTCAAATCGGAGTCCAAACAACATCCACGCAATGCGTTTGGCTGGTATGTCTCAGAAGACTCCTTTAATCTAGACCACGCATGGGCGGACACGTGGGGCCAAACCCAGCCCACGGCCTGCTTCTGTACACAGGAC